GATTCGCAGATCGTCGTAAATTTATATTTCTAATTCAAATTATAGCAAAATGAGATCGCAAAGCTGTCATTTTGACTAGCGAATTGCTATGCGATAGGAGCGATATAAGCCCTCTGTCGTACTCAGTTACTCGGGGTATTGGGAAACTTTACTTAAGAAGCTGATACGTGCAATACTTCTAATACGGTGTTGTGTTAAGCTGGATATTAGCTCCTGGGGGTTGGGAATTTTAAAATCTTTCTCGCAGCTTGATTTTACATTAATCAGTTGTTTTATTAAAATTTAAAGAAATCTTCGTATTTAAAGTTGGTGAATTTAAATTCAGTGCATTTGTTTGGCGTCGATTAAAAAATGACCTGGCAGCATTTTTTACAGATGCAATTCGAAGCAAAGTCGTTCGAAAGAGCTATTTTGACCTTAGACGTTCAAAAGGTTTCCTGGAACTAATTGTCTTTTTTTCGTTATTCGAAAGACGTGGACGTCCTGTTTAAATAGATGATATTCGTAGCAATGTCGTTCGACAGAGCTATATAAGTATATACACATGCGACAAAGGTTTTTGTCGTTTTTATTGAAAATGTTGCATTATACCTTCTCGAGTAAAACAGGTATCTTTTGGAATTTAAAACGTTGCATCATACGTCGGACCGGTTTCCGTTCTGTTATAGACTCTGTATTGTTCTATGTCTATAAAAAATAAAGCATGTCCTGTCTATTTAACGACTTCCGCCAAGGCAAAGAATTAAAACACAGGACAGTCTGCAATCAACACAAATATTTTTTAATAAACATGACATCAAATACCGTCCTTTAATACCAAACGTTTTGTCAAAAACCTGACTTCATCAGAAGAAACAAACTACAAATCAAAATGGTGGAAGGCAGTTAAATTAATTATTTAAGTTTTTCACGTTAATCATTGAGTCCAGGGTGTCAAAAATCCCACCCAGAAAATCAATTGACTATATTCTTACCATAATGTTAAGAAATTCTGTAAGAAATTGTCCGCGAAACTATTGTGGCCCCTGCTGGTCTCCTCATCTAATGTTTTCCAGCCACTGTTTCGACTATAAATTACATGTTCACCCCTTTATTTTCATCGTTATACAATCTGTTGACACACTCAAATAGAAGGGTTCTAATTATTCGTATCAGACATGAACTCAAAAGAACTTAAGAATGCAAAAGTCTATTGATTAAAAACCCGACTTTTGACGACTAAATAATATGTAACTGCAACATTTGCGAGAAATAGACATTGAAAAGTTGTTATTTTTTGCTAAAATTAAGTATACAATGCAAGAGGTGTGCCCAAAATTAATGAGGGATATCTGCATTGGCACCTCAAAATATATTCGCTGGTTATCTTGTCAGATATTCTGGAACTACTCAATACACTAATATTTTTTCCATATTCTTTTGAAGCTTGGTGTGTGAAAAACTTCATGCCAATGTAGAGGATTATGGGCCTTACATTCTTTAAAACTTCAACTTGAATTAATCAAGCGTAAAGTCCCAAACAGCTAAGTAAAGAGTTTAATCTATTGACGTAAACGATACAAAATATTGCATGTTCTTCGTTTTTGGACTGGTTTTGATAATACAGATCATAAGAACTGGATTTTTATTGGACCATTGAATCTTCTTGAACCAATCAGCGATAATAACACCATCAGTCCGAACACACCGGTCTTATGTTATTTAAACTGTCAAATAAAGTATGACATAAATATCCATTACATTCATTCATTAGAGTTTTAATTTGGCATTATCGCTTTCAGAGTTGTTGCCCTTGATTTCAGAAAGCACCCGATAATGCGGTCGAGTGCTAGCCTAGACTCTTGGCAAACTACGACTGTGTTGAAATGAGCTTTTTCTCGGATCGCGTATTTCGTTTGAACGACCGCTCCCATGGACTTCACAAGAGAAGACCTTAGTGTGTCGTAATAAAACGCTCTACTTACACGCGGGTGCCAGTTATATCATTATATTTAGTGTGTTGGTAAACATAGACTATTCAAACAGCTGTATGTTTTGAAGGAAATTTCAACTTGACTTTCAAAAGAAACAGAAGTCGATCTTATCAGAAATCATCCTACGTACATATAGCTTATTACAGAAGTCAGTTAGTACAGGATAGTTATTTCGTTCAGAAGATAGGAAGCTAAGATGAGTACAGTACTGTATATTTTTCAAGTGGTTTTCTTATTCAGCAGGTTGTTGAAACTGTCTTTCGTTGACTTGAATTTGAAGCGTGACAAACTAAAATGAAAGCGAAGATCAATCCATTAAATCGACAGAAAGAAAACGAGTTTTCAAGGGTTTCTTTTATAGAAATTTCTGTATTCCAGCCACTCGAATTTTAGTTCCCGTTGCTTAGAAGGTAATATATCAGCAAACATGTAATTAACAGGGAACTACCAACTTATTAATGCAGTGTGACCTATATAGGCTGATAGTGTATCTTCATCCCCACGGGGGTCAGATCGAAAGGAAATGCTCACCATTGGGGTAGAGGTTGCATTGAACTGCCCCCACCCCTGTTTTGTTCCTTCACTCAGTCCCTCTTCTTAGTGATTTAAAGAAACTCCAGCACATCATTTAAATAACTCCGACCCAGTTAGTAAAATTGGTTGCTAATGTAATCTTGTAATTGCGTTGTCTCCCTTTCTCACAAAAATGTTGCTTTAAGTGTTAATAATCTGGCTTGATAAATAAATAATATCTGGTTAATCCGATTCTTACAGATTATTTTGAGATTAAGTCAAGTATGTTACCAGTGGGCAGTATTTAGGACAGTTAGTCACGCAAGGTTTGACCGAGAGCAATGTCCGCAGACATAACACACATGGAAATAAAAGCTATTTTGAAAATTGACACAAATATATTTTTGTTCATCTGACATGACGAATTACGATGTTCATAAAGTTGTTATTTCTTTCTTGCCTGTCCTGTCCTATATGGTTAGTTCTGTCGTAGACATGCTACTGGTGGACAAGATCATCTTTTAACCAGTGTTTGGGGATTGAGTCATGTTTGTCATGTTAGTTCCATTGCTACATTGTAGTGATGGCTGTCTCAAACGCTGCTACTGTGGGACAAGTTCCGTGTCTATGCGAATTGCTCCCGATATAACCCATTTTTTTGTTTATTGGGTCACTTAACGTTATATTGCAATGAGCATATTTATATATTGTTTGTGCTTGGTTTTTCTATGGTTTTGCTGCGCTTTGCAATGCGTTGTTTTTGCTTGTTTGTTCGTGATTGTAATTTCTAGTCGGACCTGTAAAGAAAAACATGTTGCAAAACAAGTACATGTTGACAATACGAAATTATTTTAAAAGTATTAAAATCGATGTCTACCTCTATTACTTAAAATGACGTAACTCCTGTGTTTTGTTACTTTACTTCGTTTCGATTAGAATTATTTAAATTGATGTAATGTGAAATTTTGGACATTATGGCGACATTTTCTTAGTTTACACCTTGTGCAACCTTATATCATTCTATTGTTGTCGGTTACAACTTTATCACATTATAATGCATGTTGATAATCTTAAGAATGACCCGAGGCTCGACGTGGATCACCAGTCATTGTGGTTAACGATGTTTTCCGGTCTACTCGTTCTCGAGCTTCGTTTGTTCCTCGTATTGACTACAAGTTGAGTTGGAATGAAAATGTATTTCTCGGTGGACGTATATTTCTAGCAATTTAAGAAATCGTCAAAACAAATCCGGGCTCGCTTAAAAAAAATTTGGGATAGGGGAGGTGTTGCCCTCTCGTCCCCGTAGAAACAACACCGCCCTAAATTCTAAAAATTCAAAAAGGGATAGCCTAAATAAGTTACTTGACTTGTCAACTTTTTCATGTCTTAAGGAAGCTAAAGCCGTTTTAGGCATAAAAATATCAATACGCACTTATTTGCCTACCTGTTTATGAGACACTTTACCTAATCTAATATACTCTACAAAATAATTAGGCCTTTCATAGGCCTAATAAATAGAGGTATTTCTATAAATGAAATAATCATCATATTCATTCATCTTTAATTAAACTGACCGCAAACTAGCCTATTATTTTTTCCCTGTAGAGTTCCTTTCGGGTCAACCTGCTCGCTCTGGCCAGACTTGTCCTCGTGTTATTTATGGCGGCAATAGCCTTGTGAAGTTGACTGAGGTAACCCGGATCGATTGATCTAACAGACGTCGAGACGTCAGCTGTGACGTCACACTAACTCCAGACACCTTTGATCAAAGTAACGGTAAAATTCATAAACTATCCCCTCTTTTATTTTCGTGTAGAATAATTTTCAAAACTTAAATTGCGTAATACATATAATAAAGGCTTAAAATGAAACCTGAATAGAGTATCTAGAATTTAAATTCTTACAGCGCGTGCTTATAACATTTTAATCGTGTTACGCTATACAGTGGTAAACAGGGTTAATATTCCGGAGGAGGGTAACGGAACAGCCATGTAGTAGTCTCGGCATATTTAAGCCTTAGGAGCGATAAATGTGAGACATTGTGTTTTTTCACAGACATCAAGTGTATTTTTTAATATTAGCACGGCTTTACAGTTGATATACCACCTTTATGACGTAATAATGGCTTGTTATAAGAGCAGTGGATAAATTGGGTCAGTTAACGGTGTGGGTAGTGAGCGACTGATTGAAAAGCTAAATATTTATGCTGAGGTCGAGACCAGACGAACAGTTAGCGGTGTAGATGTGATCAGTACTACACATGTGGCGGTGCGGAGAATCCGCGACGTTTTCATGCATAGTTTAGGCGCATTCTTCATGGATGAAGGGGTCCCACAGACTCTAAACCCTCATCTACAGAGGGTTTTAAAGAGTTACCAAACAGCAGCAATACGCAGTTTAAGTGGACCCAGTGGATATCCTATAATAAGTGACCTGTCGAAAATGAGTGCCGGTGATTTAGAGGAATACCGTAAAGCAATGGTTAGTGTTAAAAAGATACCGACTGACAAGGGCATGGATTATGACCCATTTTTAGCCCCACCACCTTTTCCAATTCAACAGATGCCGGTGTTTACTCCCGTTGATACATCACGAAGTGATAAATCGGAGACTATTTTAGAAGGAGAAACCATTGCTTGTTTTATGGTGGGAGGAGAAAAGAGGTTATGCCTCCCCCAAATTTTAAATACTGTTTTACGCGATTTTACATTACAACAAATAAATACTGTTTGTGATGAGTTACATATTTTTTGTTCGAGATGTAACCATGAACAATTGGAAACATTGAAGTTAACAGCTATACTGCCCTTCACTGCGCCGAGTTGTGGACTAATAACCAAAACGGATGCCGAACGACTCACAAACGCTCTCCTACATGGGAACCCAGAAAAATACTCGGATCCTCCTTCCCTGAACAGTTTTAAAGTGTATCATGAATGTTTTGGCAAGTGTAAGGGCATATTTCATCCCGAACTTTACATTGAACCAGACGCAAAGTGTATTCAGTGTGTGGATTGTAACGGGCTGTTTAATCCACCCAAATTTGTTTGTCACTCTCATAAAGCCCTTGAAAATAGAACCTGTCATTGGGGTTTTGATTCCGCAAATTGGAGAGCGTACCTTCTTTTAGCTAAACACCAAGAAGGGCGAGAAAAACTACTAGATGCAATAGAACATATGAAAGCCAGATTTGATCCAACTAACAAATTTAAACGAAAACAGGTGAGAATTTATTTCTTTACAAGTTACCACATAAACTTTAATTCTAGCATACAACTCACAATGTCATATATAACTTAATATCCTAATAAACACATTTCTGTCAAATTATGAATTAAGCTTATAGTTAATGCGTTTAAAACATGCTTTCAAAATCATCATTATAGCTGTATTATACGAGTTGTTATTGAGCGAGAAATTCCAAGTGTCCAACAATGTGTAATAAAAGTTACACATCGAAACATTATAGTAAGCCTTAGAAGTCTTGTTATGAATTAAATATATAGTTTACACCTTTATTAGTATAAGATTATCTTTTGAGTTTTTTTAGGCAGTGATTACAAGGTTCAATTTAAGTGGTATCACATTGCAATTTGTGAGTCAAGATGACCTCTTTTAAGATCCCATTTTTTGTATGATTAGCGAAAAATTAAATTTTATCATGACAATCTGCAGATCTAATCAAATTGTGTATTTTTTGTGAATGTTGCTTTTTTCTCTAGATTCCATATGTGATTGCTCTGTTCAGATAGCAATATGTCAATCTAGGGCCTCATACCAGGTCATTTCAGTTTTACAATAATTTATATTGACACAGTGCTTATAAAAATTTTGAATCTGAATTGAAGCCTGAGTGTTTATACCTTGAACCAATTCAACCAATGCACTGGTCGGCCTTGTCAGAAAGCCTGAAAAGCATTTAAAATTTAGTCCATCCTGAGATTAAGAGAAATCATTTTTAAATGATCATCCACTTTGGGATTGTACAATTGATGATATGGAATTATATAACTGTTGTCAACAAACTAAGTTTACAAATTTTTGAAAAAGTCTGAACAGCTCAATGATTTATCTCTAATTATTAAAAAACTGTGCAAAATATTGCTATTGAAAAATGGAGTTCTCTCATGCTTGTTGTAATAAAAATATTTGACACTTCACATCCATAAAAAAAAAAGTTTATACCAGTACCTAGAAAAAAATATGACAAATTTGATATATTAAAGCAATTTTGTTCAATTGACATAACATTGCAATGAAACCTTAACTTGAGAAGTCCTTATGGAAATTACGAAGGTAGTTTCAAATTGAACTCTTTGCAAAAATTGAAGTCTAACAACCCTCTAGATATTTCTAATATTAGAGTTATATTTATAAAGTGCTGACATCTATGTTACATGGAGAGTGCTCTAAATGCGCCGAAGTTTGTAAAACAAGCTACATGTAGAGCGCTTGGGGTATATTGAAAATAAAATATTTACCAGTAATGATACTCAGCCCATTAGACAGAATTATATGTGCATTTCATCAGTTTTTGCTGCCAAAATGATATTATCCACAGGTGTTGTAATGATCAGTGTCATGGACATTGTCATAGAATTTGTTCAGTGTGTTGCATACATTTTGACTTATTTGCACTTACGAAAACTTGTTTTGAAATGAATTTGATAGTCTCTTTATTAGACATAACAGATTCTTTATTCTGTCTTTTAATGCGCCTCTGAAAACCATTAAGATTGTGAATTCAAAATTGAAACTTTTGTACCATAAACTTCCATATTGGATACTGGTATATAGATATTTAAAAATGTATAATGTATAGAAGTCTTTGTACATGTTAATTTCATTTCATCAACATAGATAATGAACATTTTAGCTCATAAATTGACATTTGTTGCCATTTTTCACCATAAATAATGAGAACAAATCCACAAAAATATGATATTTTTACGGTAAAAATTACATACTGGTATTTTATATTACATGAGATATTTTGAAGCTTCTATCAGGCATGGCTGGCAATTAAAGCCAAATCAACAGCCCTGATAAATAAGATTTTTGATATTTATGTAATTATTTAAGAGGTCCTGATAGGCATAATATGATGAGAGGTGATTTTGATTAAGCTTACAATGTTAAAAATAATCGCAATTTGAAATTTCGTCTTAGGATAAATATTTGTATTTTTTTTTGTGATTGTTTCATAAATTGATCAAGACATGACTATGAGAGATACTTTACAAAGGCAACCTTTTTGAAAGTGTTTCATTTGAAAACAAACCTAGAATTACTGCACTAAACCAGACATTTTCAAAGTACAGTACAACATAGGCATATTTTAAGCCAGTACAGAATATGATATATTTTGCTCCGAAGAAAGGAGACAAGTTGATAGTTCTGTTAAAAATAACAATTGACCTGTGTAAGATGACATCAGACTATTGAGAATTGAATTTTCCTACACCTCATCTGTTATCAGAGGCCTACATGCGTAATTCTATCTCTCTGATCACAGAACGTCACAAAGTTCAGTCTACTGTAATTAGTGCCACCAATCTCCTCTCAAAATAGATTCCAGCTTGTCTTTTTCTGCGATCCTTTTAGAAAATGGAAACCTTCCATGCTGGTGAATTTAAATCGATATTTCTGTAATTTCGCTTCTGCCTCTCTCAAGAGGTTTTTTTGATGAATGTTATTTTATTTCACATGTAATGTAGCATGTGTCTTGATGCTTTTAAAGTAGTTAGGAAATATGATTGAAGGCAAAAAATTTTTTGATGTGAGGAAAAAATTTTTGAAAGTTGTAATCGATAAAAGCTTAATTTCTTTGAATACAAATTTGAATTTGTTCAACGTTTCAAATTAAAATAATCATAATGAATAAAAGCTACCGTGATATGAATGGGCAAAAATTTGACATACAGGTAGGAGAATCTGCCGATTAATTTGGTATATATTAAACTGTCTGTATTGTTAAAAAACCTAAAAATTAATTAAAACTGAATGTTATGATGGATATTTTAAAATCTGGTTTTAAAGAAATAAAGTTCATAGGATTACTCCCACTATTGACATTAATCTAAAATTAAAAAAAATATATTATTTGCCATTTGGAGACATACTTTTGTCATGATTCTCCTTGATATATTAATTTGGCACACACTCCTTATAAGAAAGGTATTATCAATACATTTCAAATATGGTGCTTAAATTGAAGATTATGAATTTTGATTTAAGTTTAAATTCTTTTAAACAGGATGTGATAATATCATTCTGGTATAAGCTTAATGAAAAATGTAACAGGTTAGCAGGTTGGTTATCGAATAGCTTTCAACTAATGATGTAATTTTGTCTCGCCAACACACAGTAGAATGTAAAAGGTCAAATGTGGCAGAAGAGTGAAAAAGCCTGTTAAAATTTAAAAAAGTACTGATAGATTTTTCGTGTTAAAATCCTGGTCACCACTGACATTAAATTGACAGGATTTTTTTTTACTAAATGCATTTTTTAGCATTATTTTAATGATCACTTGCAAGACTTCTTTAATGGAAATTTATTCTTTGTTCCATGTTTTTAAAGTTTCAAATTTAAATGTATTCTGATTCCATTGATGTGAATTAATACTTTGCTTGATTTTTTATAAAATAATATTGAAATCATGTTTCTATTCGGCTGTATTAAAGCGAAATAAGTGAATAATTTTGTGAAGGTTTTTTGAAAAATTATTAAAATGTTACTTCTCAGCTGTTTTAAAACATTATTTGTAAGCATATAACCTTTAACTGATAAATTTCATGTTCAATTTTTCAATTGAGTTTTTCTGTGTGGAAATTTCACAGATAATTTGAAGCAAAGGAATTCAATATTTGATTTGAAGTAAGAGCAAATCAATAGACCATACCCTTTGGATTACGCCAGGATTTGCAACAGTTTTTAACCAAGACATTTGTACTTAGCCCACTAGTTGCTCCAGTAAGTTGGTAGTTTACACATGGAGTCTATTAACTTTCTCTATGTAACTTGTATCAGTTTTCTAACCTGGTATTTCTTGTGATATAGCAAGGTCAAATTCCTTGTACTTATAACAAATTCTCCTTTCTGTTTTTTCTTCTTTTTCTGACCATGGTCCGGTTAGTTGAGTGAATGAATGAGCTAAGAATCTAGACTTGGGCCAAAAATGTTATGCTCACTCAAAAATTACCAGTACTGTGTGATATATTTAATGTTTTGTTCTAAGGTAATATCTTGTAACAAGCTGGTATTGGAATCCAGACAAAGCATCTTTGTGTTTAGGGCCAGGATGTGCAGTAACGCCTGTACAAAGTTTGTTTCACATCTTTACACATATAACCACGTTTCAAATCCAGACTAATCGTTTTGAAATTTTTAGTAAAAGATTGTAACAGTTTGTGCTTGAATTCGGATTGTTTAAAAGTGTTTTAATTGGCAACATTTTTATATTTCTCCTGATCATTGAAGTAGCAAAGCATTGCATAATGATGCAAAAGCCTCTATATTGAAGCATGTAGATACAATAACAACTTTGTTACTGTTAAAAAAGTGTTGATACATGAAGCAAGCCATATTTAAAATTAAAAAGATGAATACACAAGCGTATGGATAAATATAATTGAAAGGAGTCAAAGTCTATCGAACAGCATTGTCCAAATGTTATCAGATATTCTGCATCAAAAATTAAATTAATTGCTCTTATGTTTTAAAATAATCAATATTAAGAACTGATGTAGATGGTTTGACAAATACAGATGGGACGATATCTACATTTTAACATAGCATTGACAAATACTGATATAAAAACCCATACTGTCTATTGTTTGTGACTCCTTGCAAATCATGCAATAACATATAAAAAGTTATCTGATGCCAGAATTGGTTTCAAAATGTAAATTGGTCTCCACACCTTTCCTCCAATCAATTAGAGTTTCCCAGTTAAACTTATTCAAACTAACTTTTAAACAAATGTGAATATAGAAGTTAGTTTAATAATGATAATTGCTTTTAGTAAAGGATGCTATTTGTTCTGCAGAACATTTGCTGTGAATATTTGCGTTTGTTTCACAATTGAAAATATATTTTTGTTCAATTTGAATAGTAGATAAAGATATCACAGATGTAGAAATTAATAGAAATGTCATAAAAGGAGTACAAAGAGTTAAAATTTATAAATTTTACATGAAGTTTTCATTTATGACATCTGAGAGAAATCTGAAATCAAAGTACATTTTAAATTGCAATCTAATTAATGATATACTCCCATTTCAACCAATCATTGAGTTTTT